GCACAGTCCACCAAGTCTGGTCTGCACCGTGTCTGTATCTTACCTGAAGTCTCCAGTCGTTTATGTTCGTGTCTACACAGGGTGTAGGTCCTCACTGTCAGAGGAGCTGTAGCAGGACACTGGGGCTTGGTCCCTCCCTTGTTATCATAGTTCCCCACTGCCTGAGCTACATCTTCTAGACATGGCTCTTTCTACACATCTATACCACATGTGCCCAAGGGCAGATACTAATTCTCACAGTCTGGCTGCATTTGTGATGCTGTTTCCCTATATATGCATGATGATTGTGTATATTCTTACTTTTAATTGTTTTAGAGTGTAAGAGAGCCATCTTGAATGCTTCCGGAGAGCTGTACTTGAAGACTATGTTTTAGTTTTCAGGCCTTGCTCTAGGGCTACATCATAACAATGGCATGACAACCACCATCTAACTGAGTCTTGTAAAATTACTTTCTCAGTGCTTGCCATACAGAGATGGGCAGAGGCTGAGAGACTGGCAGCCATGGCGCTCGAGTGCCCACATTCCTAAGCTACTTCTGCAAACATTATGAACCTTCCCCTCCTTCTCCATTTTTTCTTTTTTAAGTTCTAGGATAGTTTTATTAAAGTTTAAAAGAAAATCATACCAGGGCAGGTAAGCTGTAATTTTGGTGATTATCCAGGAGAGAATGGAAGAGTAAAGGGGCAGGGGAGGGAGACCACACTGCTTGAGTTGAGCCATCATGGAGGCCAGCTGTTTGGCAGCGGACAGCCATGTGATGGGGTGTGATATTAGAGGGTTAGAGAGTGCAGTGTTCTAGTGTGAGCATGCCTAGAAAAGAGAAGACAAGGGATACAGACAGGTACAGTCTGTGGCTCTCTAAGAGACTATACTGCAGACGGGAATGCTGGGAACACAAAGCGCAATATCTCAAAGGAATGCTTGTACTACCCATCTCTTAGCATGGCTTACAGTGAGCCTGCCTTTCTAGGGGTGGTCCTCCCTTTCTGAGGGGCAGTCCGTTGGATTAACTCTTAAGGGAGGAGGCAATGATACATTCCACTGAGACCTACCATCTTCTTAAGGGCTAGCTCCTTATTGTGAAGCACTGAGGTCTACTATGATGGACATGGTACAACCCACCTCAGCCCTTTCCGCAGCCCAATGTGCAGGGCATCTCATTTGCCCACATTCTCTTAAGTCACTAATAGCTCTGTATTATTTTTATAGCCAAATTTCATCTTTCTATCTAGTATGTAATTTTAAGGTCATTGCTAAAAAGAATGTCATACAGTTAACAGTTTCCTTTTTGACTCTAGAAGGGAGATAGAAATTCTACTGGTCTGTTATGCAAAGTAAAGACAGCAGTAATGGAGAGGTTAGTATCTGTGAAATTGGGCTGTATGTGGTTATGTCCTTTTATAATAAAGTTTTGTAGGTACCGGGGAACAAAATTCACTGGTAACTCTCTCTAGTAAATTTCTAGTAGGTTGGCTTACTGTCTGCCCTCTTTTGGTAAGGAAAGGATTGGGATGTTGGCACCATCTCATGCCAGTTTTCCTTGATTATCATAGCCCATGGAGTCAGACATGTCCTTTGGGCAGACACACACACAGTGGAGAGGACACGGGGGCGTGCCCTGTCAACCCCTCTCTTCCCAGTGGCCTCTAGTACTACTTTGAACCTTGTAACTCTTTAACCACTTGACACATCATGACTCCCTGTTCTTGCTTGGAAAGTCCCTGGTCTCTTTGTTCTTTGTCTCTCAGATGTGGGAGTCTGGAAATTGTAGCTGGAACTATATTTATTTGGTTTTTAATTATATACTGAGTTTGTTTCATAGTAAATATACTGACCACACTTTTTCTCTGTGTGCAATAGAACTTATTGTATCAATGCTGTTTGCATTGCTTCTGACTGGCTTCAGAATCAAATATTCCAAACAGGAAGCACCATCTCTGGAGGCAGCTCCCACTTTGTCTAAACTCAAAGAAATGATGATAAAGTTGTACCTGGCACCAACATCCCTCTAGACAACTGAGGTCTTAGAAGGTTCCTTCCTCTACTTGCTTGACCTCTGACATGTGTGTATGTGAATCCCCTTAAATATTCTGTGGCTCTTAGTTCCTTGCATAAGATGCAGCAGTAATCATGATCAAACACAAGTACTGAAGTATTAGGACAAGCAAAGTAGTTGTTTATGATTTTTCTAATTCTCTTTCTACAGTTTCTCTACCCACAAGCTGAAAGTCATCTTCTTCCACAGAACCACCTGCTACTGATTTCAGAAGAGAAATGTAAGTGTATCTTTAGGTGAAGAGAAATGTATCTTTAGGTAATGTACAGGGGTGTATGCACAGTCTCCTAGTAAAGTGTGAAGTCTGATTGAATCTGCTGGATAGCTTTACCATTTCGGAGGCTCTGCTTACCTTTGATGTTCATCTGGGCTCTAGAATCCCTGTGAAAGCTGCTGCCCCTCACCCAAAGCTGCTGCCCCTCACCCAAAGCTGCTGCCCCTCACCCTAACTCCTTCCTCAGTCTCTACTCAGTTTCCTTGTCTTGGGAAAGGAATAGCTCATGTATATATCCGTGTTCAAATTGTCAACTTGTAGAACAGTTTACTGGCCTGTCTGTCTGTTTCCTTCAAGATGTCTATCAGGGTAGATGACTGTGATCCAAGTGTGAGAGGCTTGGATGGAGAAAAGAAAGGGAAGGCCAGAGCACTAGAAGAATCCCAGGGCAGATCTAAAGGCCTGCAGGATCATGACCAAATTTAAGTATAAGTGACAGAAGAAGTTATGACCTTTGAAGGTGTTTTCAGATTTGGGAAGGGGAACAGACAAAATCCACTAGTACTTACCAACAAGCAGTCTTTCACAGAATGAGGTGAAACTATGGACTGATTATGTTTGAAAGGACAGATTATATTTGTGTCTTGTAATTAGAACCAGCAGGATATAAGTGTAACTAAACCTAAATTGTTAGTTAATACAAATCGGATTGAAGTGTTATAGATGTCATTCATGTGGTGTTGCTCCTAAAATACCGTGTGTGTGTGTGTGTGTGTGTAAAATATATATACATATATATTTTTTACCTCCAGTAATGCATGTATGTATGTATGTATGTATGTATGTATGTATGTATGTATGTGTGTATGTATGTATTTGGAAATTAGAGAGGCCACCCCTGGTAATGAGGCTCTTATGGTCTTATCTAAGACAATGAAACACGTGTGGAGGGAAGCCTGGCCAGACCTTTCATAGAGTATAACACTACAAAGAAAAGTAAATGTGGAAGTTGAGGCTGTCAGCAGGGAGGACAATGTTGGTTTTGAAGTGTCTTGTGAGAATCCTGTGTTGTGGTGGGGTACTGTTCTAGACAGTTATTATATAAAAATGTATCCATTGCTGTTAGAAGGACAGAACTAATGTTTTTCCTGGATGTTAAAGTTTTTTTATTTACTTTTTAAAGATATTGAGCGGTTTTGTATCCAGATCACCAGAGAAGATGGAGACAGAGTGGTAAAAATCTGAAATGCTTCTTGCTTCAAACTCTCTTCAAGGGGTTATGCCTCTGGCTTCTACAGACAGATGAACTCTACTGATACAACACATTTTCTTTGATGTGTTTTGAATAATAAATAACCTCACTCTTATGACATGTGAACCAAAACAAAGATGCATGGAGGAATTAGCCACCCCCTTGCTACCTCACACCCAGTGCCCTGAGTGCAGTATTCTCAGGGCTTTCTCCACAGTCTCACTTGCTTGTACCTGCCCAGTGTTAGATATACCCATGGGGAGATCAGTTGTTTTTACCAAGTAGAACCATAATCTCTGCCTTTGTGGTTCTTACTGTACTAACTGCATCAAGAGGATATATGTTAGAAACCAGGAAAAGAGCTAATTGTATGTCTCTAACTTTTATGTATACACATATGTAGCACATAGGACCTGACGTCTATGGTCCCCACTTGCCTTTTGTCTGCAGGTCCCCTTTCATTTGTCTCCAAGTTTCCTTAGTTAGGTTGAATTCACGTCTTTCTCCACTTTTGACAACTCTGGCTTGATTCATGGTTAACTCATGTGTAATTACTGAGAAGCCAGCTAGGATAGCTTCCATTCATTTTCTGAGGAAGGGTATGGCAGTTCCTGGCATGGTGTCTGTGATGTTTCAGCCATTCCACTGTGCGCGGACGTCCATTCACTTTCCTGCTTTTTGTTTTTGTAGTACAGATCATCTTGGAAGTATCTTGTTTCCACCTTTATATGTGGGCACTTTCATTTCTTTGGCCTGAATCCTCAGATTTGGATGGCTAGGGTGATGGGAATATGCATTTAGTAAGTGTCAGAAGGGTTTGCTAGTTACATTACATAAACTTAGTTTTATAAGTAGAGGATTATAGTATGAGGTAAATTTACCTTTAACATCTTCTATAGTAAACTGATAGCTTATTGTTACCTTTGTCTGTATTTCTTTTACTGGTTATTGAGTTTGAGACCTTCTCTGTTTACTGCCTATTTAAATTTGCTGTTTGGAAAATGTTATTTATTATATCTTCATCTGTTTTTCTACTTAGTTACCCTTTTCTTGACAGTTTTTATGAGTTCTGAATATAATCTAGATATAAAAATGGTTTTATTCAAAGTGTAGCCTATATAAGTTAACCTTTAAGTTTTTACACTTATTGTTGTGGTTTGTGGTGTGTACATGTACATGTGTGTGTGTGTGTGTGTGTGTGTGTGTGTGTGTGTGTGTGTGTGTG